CATCTGGGCGTCCTAAAGTTCAGCTCAATTCTGACACTAGCCACCAGGAGAGAACATCAGATTCCACAGGTTAAGGGCTCACTCCCACAAGACTGCCCCCACTTCAGATGCCAATCGCAAGTCAAGGTTGTTACCTGTGCTTCTGACTGATTGGTTATAAATCAGGGGTCCCCTTTGTCCCCTCCTTGGGTTTGATTAATTTGCTAGGGCTCACAGAAAGTACTTACCAGATTACAGGTTTATTATAAAAGGATATAATTCAGGAACAGCCAGATGAAAGATGCATAGAGCGAGATATGTGGGAAGGGGCGTGGAGCTTCTGTGCTCTCTGAACGTGCCATTCTCCCCCCAAATCTCCATGTGTTCACCAATCCGGAGGCTCTCCGAACCCTGTCCTTTTGGGTTTTCATAGAGGCTTCATCACAGACTACCTAGCCAGATATGATTTTTGTAGAGGAAGACGTTTAGATTTCATTAACACCTTTACTGTGATACTGACATACAACAAATGGCATTTATTTAAAGAAAAATGATTAAATCATTGGCCACTGGTGATCAATTCAACCTCCAGCCCGTCTCCCCTCCTTGAAGTTAGGGGGTGGGATTGAAATTTCCAACCTCTAATACCGGTTGATTCCCCTGGCAACCAGCTCCCATCCTTAGGTGCTTTCCAAAAGTCACCTCATTAACATAAACCAAGTTGTAGAAAGGGGCTGGTTATGAACAACAGGACGTTCATTTCACCCTTATGGCTCTGAAGCAACTTCAGGAACTGAGCACAAGAGATCAAATACTGTGACAAAAGATGCTGCCGTGCTCCTAGCACTCAGGGAATTCCAAGCATTTGGGGAGCTGTGAGCCAGGAACTGCGGATGAAGACCAACTCTATATGAGAAGTAGATTTTGGTCACCTGAATGACCAAATCTATATTTATTATAAATCACTAGCTCAGCAGTTCACAGCCTTGGCTGCACATTAGAATCACCTGGGACTTAAAAAATGAAAATTATTCAGGTCCAAACCTAGACCAATCGAATCAGACTCTTTGAGGGTGGGGCTTAAGCAGTTATTAAGCTCAGGTGATTCTAATGAGAACCCCTGGGTAGGACTTTCTACTTCGCCTCATTTATCCTCATGAATGTGGCTTTTTTCTCCTCTCACTATAGGCATCTGAGGATTTAAGTTTTTCTAGTAAGTAGCATTTGTGGCTGGAGGCCAACTTACGGTTAGAAGACTCGTTCGCAGATGAGGCCTACTTGGTGTGGATGGGAGCTCCACCAGGGCATGAATACTCGCAGACAGGGATTGCTGGGGGCCGTCTTGGAGTGTCCCAGAGATACGTGCCTTTGTTTGTCTTCCAGCTAGTAAAACCTGCAACCAGCCAACCAACAAGCCTCAGGCCATTGTCCTAGGGTTGGGGTGGCTGGGCCCTCTTTCCTGGGCTGAACACTACAGCACAGTTTACATGACTTTCCAATTTCCACCAAACCATACCAGTGGCAAATCGGTCAGGAGAGAGGGAACATATTTTCCTCAGAGCAGGGGTTGACAAACTTTTTCCATAAAGGACCAGATGGTAAGTTATTTAGGCTTTCTGGGAGAAAAGCCAAATAGAGGATATAGTGTAGGTTCTTATATAACAGAAGAGAAAATTCCTGCCCTGCTCCATCCTACGCCATTTGCCTGGGGTGGGCCATTCCCAGGAGTGGATACCTTGACGCCCAGGTGGCATCATCTTGGAGACGTTTTCAGGACAGAGAGCCACTGGCCTGATGGGGAGAGGCTTGATAGATGGGGCGGGAGGCTGGGCTGCCACAGTCTGTTTCATTCTGCCAGTGTCACCTGAGCCTTAGAGCATAAGTCCAGTCATCTCAGCTTGGGCCACTGGCCAGAGGGAGGCAGTTTGCCAAGCTGCCAACACCTGGACTGGGCTTCTACTGCCTGGTCCCCAGCATTTGCCAACAGTGAAGTCCCCAACATGCAGGTGGTGACCAGTGTGGACCCTGGGCAGGGGTAAGATGCAGCCACCAACCAGGGATGCTGGTGCTGGGAGTGGAGGGAGGAACGGGGAGCAGGGCCACACATGCCTTTCTGTCACATGGACCCTTCCACCATAAGCACGTATTAAAGATTATATTTTAGAGCTGTGATTATATTTTATAAACACAAATATAATCCAGGATGGGCTATATGCTTTCCTTCTGATTTTAAAATAAATTATCTTTGTGGGCTCCTAAACATATTGTGGGCCCTAGGCCCTGTGTGTACTGTGCCTAATGGGTGAGTTGGCCCCGACCCAGTGGATGGGGCCACTCAAGCTTGGTCTCCACGGCTCACAATGCTTGTCTGTTGGAGCAGTGCCTGAGGGCCACGCGAAAGCAAGAAGCAGGCTGGATTTGACGTGGGGGCCGGTTGGCTGAACCCCTGCTCTAGATGACCAAGATGCAATTAGCTGAGAGCATTTCCCATGGGCCACAGGACAGCTAAGAAAAGACATGGTCACCCAAAGTAACTGGGACCCCCTACAGAGAGCTGGATCTCCTGCTGGGTCCTGCTACCCACCCCTATTCTTTTTCCTAATGAAGTATTACTCACTTATGGAAAAGTATATAAAATATATGGGGTCAACTTAATTCATTATCACAGAGCAAACACCCGTCCAGATCAAGAACATAGCCAGCACTTCTGGAGGCCTCGCTAGTCCCCCTCTAATCACCACCCCCTCTCTCCACCTGAACAGGCTACTCAACCGACTTCTAACTCTGTAGGTCAGTTTTGTTGGTGTAAATGGAATAACACCACACAGAGCATTGCACGCTTTGGTGTCTGGCCTCTTTCAGTCCTGGCCATTGTTGCTCTTGTGTTTCTGGAAGGACGGAGTGGAGTGGGCCACCACTCACAAGATCCTTTTGTCACGAGATTGCTTCTCTTACATGGGCTTGGCTGGAGGTCAGGAGGGCCTGTGAGCAGCCCAGCCAACCAGCCCAGGGTGCTCTGTGGCCTAGAGATAAAATGTACATTCATGCTACAAAGTAGCTGGCAACAAACCCTTGTGACAGGCACGCTAACAGGAAAACCAACCTGACCAGGGAAGTTGATTAAGGATGTTCCTCTTAACTTCAGCCTCATTGCCTCTGAGACTCATTAACCACTACTTATTAAAAGGAAAAAAAAATATTTTTACAGGGCAGACATATTCCACATGCTTTATGTTTGAGCGTGAGTCAAATCTTTTAACTGCAACTCACCTCCCGAGTTCAGGGCTGCCATGTGTAACCATGAAGTCTGCACACTGCATAACTCCAGGGGGCATCGCTGACAAAGAATATGATGTGCCTGGGCATGGAACCACACAGTGCAGGGAGCAGAATGTTAGCAGACTCAGTTGCCTGGATCCAGACCACATTGTAACTTAACATGTGGTCTGGGTACCTAGACCTTTATCAGTTACACATTTGGGGAGAAGTTCTTCAAATTAGTTGTGTTCTGGTTAATCCATTATTATTAATTAATTAATTACTTTATTTATTTTTGGCTGTGTTGGGTCTTCTTTGCTGTGTGCAGGTTTTCTCTAGTTGTGGCGAGCAGGGGCTACTCTTTGTTGTGGTGCACGGGCTTCTCATTGCGGTGGCTTCTCTTGTTGCAGAGCACGGGCTCTAGGCGCACGGGCTCAGCAGTTGTGGCGCGCAGGCTCAGGAGTTGCGGCGCACGGGCTTAGTGGCTCCGCGGCATGTGGGATCTTCCCAGACCAGGGCTTGAACCCATGTTGAGCATTGGCAGGCTGATTCTTAACGACTGTGCCACCAGGGAAGTCCGTTAATCCATTATTAATCCAGGAATCCACCCCTCACTTTTTTTTTTTGCCCCAATATGCTCAAATGATTGAATCTGTATTTGATGATTAACAAGATCTTACAGGCTCTCCTGTGGGTGTGTGTGGGGAGAATGGAAATAGTGGGAAGGTGGGCAGTGTTTACATTTTGAACACCAATTCTCTTTATCTGGGATGTATCTATAAAAGAAGCATTTTGTATCTACATATACAAAATGTCCAGAATAGGCAAATCCAGAGACAGAAAGTAGGTAAGTGGTTGTCAGAGGTCCTGGGTTTATTTTCTGGGCTGATGAAAATCTGGAATTAGATTGTTGATGGTTATACAGCTCTGTGAATATACTAAAAACCACTGAATTGTATACTTTGAAGGGGTGAATTTTATGGTGTGTGGATTATATCTCAATAAAGGTATTATTTTTTTCAAAAGTGAAGAGACACTGAATCTCTACTGACCTCAGGACACTAGCTGAAAAAATTTTTTCAAAGAAGGAACACTTCTGAGGTTGATGTATGGTTTTCTTTTCCCTCTAAAGGTGGAGCTATATTATATGAAGGGCTGCAAATGTCCAGGTAAGACCAGAGATCTCTTCCTTCAGAGGCCCCAGGGTCTGGAAACTAAGGCTGCTAGTGGGAGCTTGTAGGATAATCGTATTATAAGAGGTTTCTAAGTTCCCTAATTGTGCTGGAATGCAGTGTCACTGAAAATGAGATGATATGAAAGAATGGGCTGGGTGTGGTGGCAAGGATGGTAGGCATGGGCAACTGTTTTAGGCAGGGACTTTCTCAGTAATTCTACAGACTGGGGCATTCTTTCAGCTTGGCTCTAGGCTTACAGTAGATGGTCAATTAAGGCCTGTTGACCTACTTGTCCTAACGAGACTTGACTATGGAGGTATGCCGCAAAACCACTCACTGTTTCAAGATCCCTGCTAGTGCTGAGTGGGAGGTGCCCAGGAGCCTGGACGCTCACCACCGCAAGTCACATCAGTGACTGTCCTGCAGCAGCTCTGACACCCGAGTGGCCCGCTAGGCCTCAGGGGGTCGTGCTGGCTAAACGCTACTAGAAAAAATAATCAATTCAGTCACCCCCAGGCCCTCCCCTAGAAGAGCTCCACCAGTAAATACCACTTCAAAACACAAGGGAGGAATAAAGGAACATGCAGATCCTAGTAGAAAGGCTGTATTCATTTCTGAGGACTGCTATGTTTTAAGGCAAGTGTCACACATACAAAACAGTCAGAGATGAACAGTATTTACGACAACATGTTAGAAGCGCAGGGGAGACATCTTCAGACAATGAGAAAGTGGCATTTTCCCCAGCCGGGTCACTCCTGGTCTGATTCTTGTTGCAGACAGAAAAACAGGGAGAAAGCCAAGGGAAGGGGAGCAATCACCATCTGGATTTTACAAGGAAGCACCCTGCCCCAGGCACGGTGCTCCCCTCACCGCAATCCCAGGTCCAGGATAGAGGATGCGCAGTCCCTGAGTCTGATTGTCCAGCTCTACTGTCCATGTTTTGTAAAATTCACCTTTAGAAACAGGAAAATCAGGATGCCAAAGACATGCAACTTGCAGTTAGTCCACCTCTGTCCAAATTCAAACTCGCCCGGACTGGAGCTAAAATATACACACACACATACATATAGATGTTACCCGCATGTATACCTCCCACATACATGCTGCATATATGTATGTGTACGTACATAGCCATGTATATATGTGGAAGAAGGAAAGATGAGATCTAATGACACCTGAAAAATAGTGAATGTTTGGGATTTGCAGTTTGGGATCCATCAGTGTGATTATTTCCCCTTTGAAAACAGAAGGCATCAGCAACAAGCCAGAGGGTCGAGGCTTCCAGGCTCCTCTCAGCCCAGCTCCTGGTCACTCCTGCTTCACAGGAGACGGGAGTGACTTAGCTGGTTTAAAGAGGGCTGAAGGGAAAAGGGCCAGGTCTGCTCCGTGCCCCTTGGTTCTTCCCCGCCCATTCCGCTCAGGCCCATGCCCCACAATCTTAGTACAGGGGAGCTTCACTCTCTGTCCCCCCTTCCCCCCATTCCAGTTGTGACAAGGGAATGAGCGAGGCTGAAAGTTTGGGAGTTTTAGTGGCCAGTGTGCGGTGGCAGAAATGGTGCCTGGGTCTGGGAGTCGCGGGGAGGTCAGGTACCCAGAAGTGTGCTGGGAGGTGGGGTAGTTAATTCACAAAAAGATGAAGGACGTCAGGAAGAGGCTGCATTTGATGCTCACAAGAAACTACTAAGAGAACAAGTGACGTGATAACAGTTGCTCCTGCACACAGAACGAAGCCCTGCTCGTAAAAGCTGTCCTCCCCAGAAGAAGGAGCCTCCTGGAGAACTTAGGTATCACTTAGGTAACAGTAAGGAGGGTACGGGGGTGTTAGCACTTGATATCCAAGAAGCAAAATGCGAAATGGTCGTTTTTCGCGGATTCACTCAGTTTGCCTCACCAAATCCCTCTGAGGTAGGTAAGAGGCAGGTGACATCAGCCCCATTGTACTAATGGGGTAAAGTGAGGCTCCAGGACTTGCTGCAGGTTACCCCACAGATACACACCAACAGCCACAGAGAAATAGCAGTCTAGTGCCTTTTAGGTTTTCCTTCCCTATCCCGGGCAATGCTTGTTCTCTCCGTAAAGCCCCCTCCCCTAGGCTCAGCTCAAGTCAGTAAGTATCAGGTGGACCATTTAGCTTATAATTTTAAACTGACGTCCTGGAGGGAAAGGAAACCAAGTCTATGGAAATCAGCCAAAGCTAGGGCATCTGGGAACAGTGGTACCTCACTCCAATGAAGGGGTGGGTTTGTGGGGTTTTTAAAATTTTGTTTTTGCTGCAATGCAGCATTTTAGGGAGGGTCTAGTTGGATTAAAATCTGTTGCTAGACCAGCCAGGGTCCTGAATGTGATGACCACATGACACCTCCCCAGAGGAGGGGGGCCCCTCTCTGGCCTGTTGCCAAATCAGAGTAGATGGGTATAGAGCCACAGTGTTGACATAGGCCCAGGTCATGAAAGCAGAAAACCTCCCCAGGGCTGGGGCCAGAATGGGGACATTAGTGTGTGTGTGTGTGTGTGTGTGTGTGTGTGTGTATGTCCTGGCCTGATCAGGCTGCTTCCCTTCCCCCTGCAGCCTGTACTCCCCCTCCTTTCTTTGACTTCAGAATGTAATTGTTTACTTAGTGCCACTGACCAGAGACCCTAGCAGTGCTAACACCATGGAGTATTTCTAACTCGACAACGTGCAGCGCCTCCAGCCTAGTGACCCAGAAGCCAGTCAGGCCGATGTGTAGACTCTCGACACCTGAGGCCCAGCTCAGTGAATTCCAGCCACGGCTATGAATTTGGGAATTCTTCCAATTACTATGGCTCACGAGGCAATGCGACAGATGGCTGCCACCCGTCCAGGTCTGCCCGGAAAGCACCCAAGGCTGAGCTTTCCTGGGTGCGGTGAAGCAACATGTGCATTTTCCAAGCTTTAACCACCAGGTCCTGTGAGCCTGTTACTCCCCCCGCCCGGCAGCTCGAGGGTGTGTTTCCAAACAGAGCTGGGGTGTACACAGTTGCACCTAGACATGGTAAGCCAAATGGCAGAGTGTCCTGGTCCTTGGGAACCAGGTCCCGTTGGGAAGCCCAATGCCTGTGCTGAGAAGTAATCCTCAAACCAGTGACTGGGCCAAAGCATTGCACGGGAGGCTAGAAGTCAGTGAAGGCGGTGCCCGGGTCTGCCGACCGGACCGATGGGGCGGGCATCCCCCGCAGGCAAGCTGGAAGCCCAGCCCCCTCACAGAACTGACTCCTTGGACTCGGGGGTGCTGGCCGCAAGGCCGGTGGGGTTTGGGTGTGTCACCAGGGGTGACGTCTCCTCCTCCGACTTGCAGTTGGGGACGGCCTCCACTTTGACCTCACTCAGCTCCTGCTCGCCTCTCTTCGTCACCTTCTGATTCAGGTGGTGGAGGATGCCTGCACCCAGGGCATCGCCCTCCACGTTCACCACGGTGGTGGTGCGGTCCCTGGGGGGAAGAGAACAGGCAGGCATTACAGCCACCAGGGGGCGGATGTCACCTTGGGCTGAGCCACCAGGAAGCTGTGACACTGAGGGAGAGCAAGCTAGTAAGGGCACAGGGCCTCACTTGATGCTAAAGTGATTTTCTCCAAATACTTTTTATGAAACTAACAGATCCTCAAGAAAACTTGGGAAAAAGAAAAGTACAAAGGAGAAAACAAAAGTCACCCCGCCCCCCCATACTCCGCAACCCTGAGTGAACCAGTATTGACCTCTGGATCTGTTTCCTTCCAGAAATCTTTCAATGTATGCATTTCACGTGTGAGACACCATCGTATAAAAGTTACAGACAGCTGGGATGATCGCACAGATTCCGTCCTGGGTCCAGCTTCTCTCCCACTCACGGTTGCGCTGTGGGAACCTGCCTTCTTGCTCTCACTTTGACACTGCATCTCTACTGAATTGTAACCTCCACATGCTTTCCCTGGCTGGTGGCAAACACCATCTCACAGAGAACAGCACTGTCCCTTCCAGAAGCTTGTCTTCCCAGACCCCCATAACCATCCCCCATCCCTGGGGCTCAGAGGAAGTATTGTGCCCATTCTGAAGAAAGGGGGAAAATGTGACCTTGCCCGCGGCACTGGAGAAGCTGAGGGCTGTGGAATCAGAGGTCGCGGTGGTACAGGGCTCCTGTGACTGCAGGTCTCGCCTGGGCAGCCCGCTTGGCGCCCTGCGTCCCTCGTCCTGGCTAAGTGCCCCTTCGTGCCTGCACTCCCCACGTAGAGGAAACAGCGGGGTGAGGAAGGAGGCAGGGCCTCTGACACGCAGCTCTGGTCCCGTCCAGCTCACCGCAACGTACCATCGCAGGGACTGAGTTCCCTCCCAAGTGCTCTCTAGACAAGGCGGGTCTCCAAGGCACATGTCACATTTCACCCCCGAGGAGCTGTAGGGATTCTGAGAAGCCCCTTCAAGTCTCCAGGGCTTGAAGATTTCCAAACACAAGATTTCCAGCCACCATGGGCTGAGCCACGAGCCCAGGGCCAGGCTCCAGTGTTTAGGGTATCCCATGCCCAGCTCTGACTAGCCTGGCCAGGGGCGTCTTTCTTCCCCAGTGTTGACCGAATGCTCTTCCTGCATGTGCCTAGAACCCTTCTACGTGCTATGCACGTGTTAACGCATTTAGTCTCCTCCATAACTCTGGTGTAGGTTCTGTTCTTATCCCCATTTGACAGATGGGCAGACCAAAGCACAGATGATTCATATCATACAACTAGTAAATGGCAAAGCTGGGATTTGAGCCCAGGTTCCTGGGCTCCAGTGTTCATTTTCTTATTCACATGCTCTACTGTCCAACATCAGTACCTCAGCGGACCTTCCCTATAAAACAGGTATTGTTTGTATCTGAGAAAGGTATCATGGGACTCAAGGAAGCAACACTCAGAAACTGTTCTGTGTCTTTATGGGCGCCCAGGTAATGGTCATCTGGATCACAGCTCCTTCCTAACTCCGCTCCTGAGCCCAAGCCATGACATTCGCATTAGCTGGGCTCATCTTTTCTCCCCTTGCAGAAATCACTCCTTGGACATTCCAGGCCAAGGATGATCATTCCCGAAGGCTCGCTGCTCCAATGGCTATGACCCCTATGCAGCCACCAATCTCCATAGACCCTTGGGCCCCTGGCTTTCCTGAATGTTCTGAGCAAGTTCTCAGTAATGACATGTTTTAAGTTTCTCTGCATGCCCCAGGCCAGAGTAGTGCCAAGCTTCTAGGGAGCTCATTACAGACCTTCTTTTATTCGGTGCCCTTAGGACTTGCTACTTACACAATCCAGTCCACAGCCAGGATCAGAGAGAGGTCATGAGTGGGCAGCCCGATGGCCTCCAGGATAATGGCGATGGTGAGGACCCCTCCAGCTGGCACGCCTGCTGCTCCCACACTGGATGCTGTGGCTGTCACTCTAGGGGATGGGACAGCAGGATCAGTCATTAGCCCAGAGGATGAGGGGGCACAGAAACATGCAGAACATGGCAGCCATGGCTTGGAAACTGAAGACCACACAACCCTAGAGTCTGTCAGCTATGCCCTTCACAGAGGTTCCACTCTCTTCAAGTAATGAATTCACGCTGTTCTCAGTTTACAAATGAGACACCCGAACCATGGTGAGATTGGTATTCATGAAGTTTTTCAAAGGAAATCACAAGAAAAAGACCTCACGTTTTGTACCAGACCTGATGATGAAGGAAAGACTACAGAACTTACAGAATGGTGAAAATCTGGCCTGCTTTCAGCTCCACATTGTTGAGCTGGGCAATGAACACTGCGGCCACACACTGGAAGATGGCTGCGCCGTCCATGTTCACCGTGGCCCCGATGGGGAGGATGAACCTGCCGATCCTCTTGTCTACACCATTGTTTTCTTCGATGCACTTAATCATAGAGGGAAGGGTTGCAGAGCTGGAAACGCAAACAACCAACCATGAGAATAGTCCTTGCTGCCCAGGCTAACATAGTACTCAGCTCAGACCTGGGAACAGAGCAGTTGGCACCATCCTAGTTTATGGCACTCTCCCCTTGAAATAAGAGAAATATCAGAATTGTTGCAAAGTTTCTGTCACACGTGGGGTTTTGTTAACTCCCAAAGTATTCAAAATTGGACTCCTTAGATTTACCTGTTTTTTTTTTTTTACCTGGATACCCCTGTTCCAAATTTCTCAAGAACCACACCTTGTCTCATGGTACAAAATGTGCGTCTCCTCTGTTGAATATTTTTCCTCCCAAAAAGTAAAAGGCAAACTATGATTTTTTTTTTCTTTTAGACCAAGAAGCCGAGATGGCTCTGAGAGTTTGGAAAGAGTAACTGTATTCCTAGATTACAAAGAATAAGACCCGCTCTCTCCAGTGGGCTCTGCAGCTTCTGCAGGGTGTGGCTGGCACACCAAGAGTAGGCTTGTTTCTGCCTAAGCTGGAGAAACTTACCTCCTTCATTCTTTCCCCCCATGACCTTGTCATATACATAGCCAGTCAGGATGGGAGGAAACATGCAGTAGAGAGGCAAAAACTAAATGTGTGAGTGAAACGATGTGCTGCCATCCTTTGAAAGTTTCCTTTAGTGTATTTGGAAAGCCCAATTTTTTTGTGAAGGATTTCTAATAATGACAAGGTCCATCTTTTGTGTTAAATGAGATAATCCCACAATACTGTGGACTCCTAGAGAGCTGAGCATGCATCCCTCACCAGGATGCCTTGGTCTTATTTAGGAAATAATTCACCCATCCAAAGGGAGAAAGAATTGGGCAGGTATCATTCTAGAAACTTCCCTGCAATGAGGTTTTTTTTTTTAAACATCTTTATTGTAGTATAATTGCTTTACAATGGTGTGTTAGTTTCTGCTTTATAACAAAGTGAATCAGTTATACATATACATATGTCCCCATATCTCTTCCCTCTTGCATCTCCCTCCCTCCCACCCTGCCTATCCCACCCCTCTAGGTGGTCACAAAGCACCGAGCTGATCTCCCTGTGCTATGCGGCTGCTTCCCACTAGCTATCTATTTTACATTTGGTAGTGTATATATGTCCATGCCACTCTCTCACTTTGTCACAGCTTACCCTTCCCCCTCCCCGTGTCCTCAAGTCCATTCTCTAGTAGGTCTGCGTCTTTATTCCCATGCAATGCGTTTTAAGTAGCTGCCTTCTTTCACTTAGGCAGAGGTCTAATTAGGGTGAAGACCCACAGTTGGACTAAGTAATGGTCCAGTTGACCTCTAAGCAGCAAGAAGAAGGGAACGAGGCAATCCCTCATTCTGGCAATCCTAAAAATCCACTTCCAAAGAGCTGTGGGGCTGGTAGTACAAAAAAATCAGATGACACCAATTTAGAGTCTTCAAGAAATTAAAATATGTCAAGGTGATGGTTGTGCATCCACCACAGGCTCGTCTGGTTCCATATTAATACAGCTCGGGGCAGCCAAGGGCACCTGAAACCCACTCACCTGGAGCAGGTGGCAAATGCTGTTGCAAATGGTGTGAGGAGGCCCAGGAGGAACCTGAACGGGTTTTTTCTCGTGAAGACAAAATAAATAAGTGGCAGAACAATTCCTCCGTGAATAAAATGGCCCAATATAGATGTGAAGATATATTTCCCCAGGCTGGTCACCAGCACGACGATGTCCTTCATTTCCACAATCTTGCTTCCAACCAGGAACATGATGCCCACAGGTACGTACCTAGGACATGAGCAAAGGGCACTGGTCAGTAAGGGTGGTGATGCTGGGGCTGAGAGATGTAGGCCTTTCCTGTCACAGAACGCAGGGACTCTCAACTAGGTGGTCTTCACCTCTCCCTAGGATGACCCTAAGGAACAGAAAAGGATGGGGGTATACCGTGCCCATTTTACAGGCCGTGAAACTGAGTAAAATTAACATGATTGCTCATTGTGGGTGATGGAGTCAGGACTAGGACACAGACTTCTTTCCCCTTGGATATTGTATGTTCTTAACAGCTGGATGCAACCAACCATATGGGCTCCCAAGTGGAAAGGCAAGGAACTCTTCAAGAGCAAAGCCTCTGGGGCTGTGAGCTTGACTTTCAGCTTTGCTCAGGATTGTTCTCAGAACTTAGAAACACAAAAGACACCTATTTTGCAGAATTGCTGTGATACAGGATTGAGCCAAAGCTGGGCCTTTTGTGAAGTTTTAAATTCTTTGTGGTTTGGAAAACATGATTCTGTGGGAAAAAGTCATTAACAATGACCCTCTGGGAACACTCTTGGAGCGTGAAGATTTTTTTAATGGCAGGATGGGAAGAAGGAAGGGAAGAAATGAACTATGGGCGCTACAAAGAACAAAAGTCTGCTGTTTTGAATTTAATATAAATTGAGGAAGAATTTTATAATTATCAACTTTGTTTGTAAATTTTAATTATATACATAATAATGTCACATGGTTCAAATTTTAAAGGGTACAAAAGGGTGAAGTCTGCCTCCCACCTCTGTACCCAAGCACCCATCTTCCTTCCAAGGAGACAGCCAACGTCACTGGTTTCTTGAGTTTTCTTCCCAGAGATATTCTAAGCAGTATTATTATTTTAAAATCCCATAGTAATACATGAAAACATTCTCCTTTCAAAAGAATTAAAACATTATAGATTAGGCCAAAATCTTTAGGGACCATCCTCAAGCCAGGCCCATCCTCTGATAACCACTCCTACTTTCCTATGCCTGCATAGGCACTTTTTAGGCAACAGATCTCTCACTGCGGTTAAGACACTCAGCTGGGTCTGCCCTTCCAAATATCTGCTTCTGTAACTAATACATCACATTGAAGGAATGACTGTAAATTGGTTTCCAGATTGAAAACAAATGTCTTAACATACGAACGTCACTTTCTTCCACAGTTTCCTTTAATCCAACCTTTGGGAGGATTTTAGACTAAAAAAATAAGCCAGGAAAAGAACTCGATGTGATGAAAACATGTTTTCCTTTCTGAAAATATTTTTCTCCCTTGAACAACAGCAGTCATATGAAGTGTCATGTTTACAATATAGAGTCAGACTCTGGAATTTTGGGGTGAGCAAGAAAATTTGGTTAAGCAAGATAAACATCACCAGGGGAGGCTCCGAACTTGGCTTCCCACCGAATCTCAAACTTTCTTACCAAATGCCAGGCTTCTCTCCTAAAATCAGTGCAGCTGCCATCCCAATGCCATCTAAGAGAGAGACGTTCTGGGATATTTAAAGGTTGACAATAAGGAAGATGCTTTGTGCACAAAAGGAGAAACTAGTTTCTCAGCAACGAATGGGTAGAAGCTAAAACCCACAAAGTTTGGCTTGAGTAAAACAGCAGGATAAAGCTTACGAGGCATTGGCACTGAAATCGGTATGATTTCTGAGAAGTTACTTTGAGAGATCTTGTCAACTTTTCCCTTGTTAGCCAGAAATCAATCTGATGGTTTTTATTAAACAATTGCCCTTGCATTGATATTACATAAAGAAACATTCACATAAAGGAGAGACCATTCCAAGTTCACATATATGTATGGAGTGAAGATGGATTTTCCCTCCATGTTGTAAAATACTATAGGAAGGGGCCCTTCTGAAGCTTGAAGTCTATCCTTTAAAGTGAAATGAGCCTCATTTTATACAGCAGATAGCAAATTTATGGAATCCGTTGCCCCACAAGATGACATGGGCATCTCATGGGATATGGGATGGTGGTGGGACTCATGGATAAATCCCCAATGATAAAACCCAGGGGTCATTGTGGGTGATGAGGAAGTGATTGGTAACCATGACACATGCCTGTTTCTCTGAGGTCCTTCACCCCTTGTACCAAGACTGGCCTGTGGTACATCAACCACATACAGAGCCCTGGTCCAGGTGGTCCCATAGGGGTGACCTAGAACAGCTAAGTCAGGTTCTTTTCTGGATGGCAGGAGAAATGAGAGAGAGAGCAGGTGGCAGGGTGACACTCACCACATAATCCACGACACCAGCACCATCGTCGCCTCATTGAGGGCATTGAAAAAACGAATGAGCTCTTCTCCTTCAGAGCCGAGTTTCTTCAGGGCCACTCCTAACACCAGGGCAAAAAGGACCAATCCTAAAATGTTCATACCTTCAATTTCGGTGCCAATGGGGATCTGTAGGATCAGAGGGGACAAAGGGTCTAAGTTTACAACAGATGAGTGAGAATTAAAGAATGCATTTGCTCCGTTGTCTCTGCCAGACTGAAACACTGTGCCCGGAAGGAGGAAAGGCTCAGATTTTCTTTAACCCGCAGTGATTTCACAAATCAAGGGGCAGGAAACTCAAGGGGAGATGGAGTCTGAGGATATGGAAGTCAACAAACAAAATCTTCACCTAGTTGTTAACTCTGAAAGCTGTTCAAAACGGGCATAGGTTGAAGCAGAAAGTAGCGAGCTCATCATCACTGGATAAATTCAGCTAGAGGTTGGACAATCACTTCAAAGGGTTGCTTTTAGAAGAAGAGCTGATTGGTGAAAAGGTCCTTCAGATCAAGAGTCAGTGATTGGAACTTTGCCTCCTAAATGTCAACAAATTCTTTGCTGCTAGGCTCTTACCATAGTCTCCTCACTGACGAATTTCAAAAAAGATGTTCAGAATCAACGTGGGTATTTTCAGGATATTCTTTCTTAAATCACTGACTTAAAATGTACAGGTATAATGTATTCTTTTTTTCCAGCAGTGCTGAATCTCACTACTCTAAGCATATGTTAGAGGAACATTTTATTCCATCACAACACATTATGAAACTCTGAACAGGAAACATGTCAGCGTGGTAAAAACCGAAAGAGCATTTTTACCACTGTTCTAGTCTGAACCCTAGTCCCAGCTCTGATACTGAATAACTTCTCTGAGCTTCAGGTGCTTCATCTGCAAGATGAAGTGAAATAGACTAAACTAATAGCTTTTGACTTTTTTTTAAAAAGTAGAACTTTTCCTTCAATCAAAGAAAGGCTGGTAGGGCTTCCCTGGTGGTGCAGTGGTTGAGAGTCCGCCTGCCGATGCAGGGGACACGGGTTCGTGCCCCGGTCCGGGAAGATCCCACTTGCCGCGGGGCGGCTGGGCCCGTGAGCCATGGCTGCCGAGCCTGCGCGTCCAGAGCCTGTGCTCCGCAACGGGAGAGGCCACAACAGTGAGAGGCCCGTGTGCCGCAAAAAAAAAAAAAAGAAAGGCTGGTAGAACTCAGAGCCCCTCAAGCCCTAAGGAGGTGTACTAGGGGGTGGGGAAGGGCAAAGTCCCTCCTTCTCCCCATGGCAGCTCCATGGCTGGACTGAATAATTCTTGAGGTCCCTTGTCCCTTCCAGCTACATAGCATGAAGGCTGGGACCTAGCTCAGTGTCTGGTAAACAACAGGTACTCAAAAATACTTGTGAATGAATGATGGTTATAGTGAATTAAACCCCCAAGACCAATTCTATGTGCAGGGGTAGGTTAAATCACCTATTAATTATATTTCAGAATAGCAGAAGGGGTGTTATAAAATTATTTTTTCTAAGAAAGGGGGCAGTAGTTCCAATTCAATGACATGGATCCACTAAACATGGTAAATGGCCAAAGGAGCAAACCTAACCCGTGTGTTTCAAACAGCCCATTCAAACCCCAAAGTCTTCAGTCCGGCTGAGAAAAGCACGCATCGTGTATGCTCCCTCAGTTATGAAGCATTATTTGTGTTATAAGTATTCGCCACAAGTGATCTCACAAGAAGTTTTACCTTTTCACGGGTTATGTTTCCAGTGCTTGTGTTGTGGGTCACCTCTCTATAGTCGGTTGCATACTGTGAACAAGAGAAAGCAAAACTCCCGTCAGTTCACAGCTGAAGACCACCTGGAGGAACCGAGAGGACTGCTGGGCCTCTGGCTACTCTGTCCTTCTTCATTCCAGGTCTTCTGGGCACTCCTCACTTGGCTGGCCTGACAAGGGCCTCTGAGGACTGTACAAAAGTTACTTAAGACCAAGGCAGCATGCACTCCAGACTTCTGGTTTTTTAGGAAGCCAAGGAAATGGGGAGAATTTCCTATGTCCCCTGGTCGCTGGTTTGGAGAAGGTCTGCACACTTTCAAGCTGATGGTTTGATATCTCCAACAGCTCAGAGTTCACCTTATTTGGGGAAACTTGGAATTCGTTCCACGATGCCGAAGTACACTTTTCGATGTGTTATTTTATGTTCATTCATTTATTTATGCTCCACTATGTTCCAGAACTTATTTGAGCCTGACTGCTTTTCAGCATCTGTTTCTAATCTGCCTTCAGCCTCCACTCCCCAGAGCAAAGGCTGGAAGGCAAGACAGCATTTTCGGGCTGAGTCTTCTGGGAGACCACTCATCAGAGGTGAAACGTCCCTCCAACTTTGTTCCTGCCAGTTGACTTCACACACTTCTGCCCAACGCACACAGTTGTCTCCCTGGGGCAGTATACATTATCGTTGAGGGGACTCTGTTATAAGACACCCTTCCTGACCCTTCTAAGGACACCTGGCTTCTGAACTGTTAAGAGGAGCCCCTTAGAGGGTTCAGACCCAGAGGCTTGCTTTGAACCGGCCTTTAAAGAGCTCTGGTCTCTCTCAGCTTTGATTATCAAGCTTTCAGACAGGCAGAGATGTTCAGCTGTCCCATGATTAAGGATGGCAGGGCAAACAAAACCCACCCCACATCTTCTGTGCCAGGCACTGAAAGCCCCGCAAACCTTGTATTTTTCTCCTAGCTTACATTATACATACAAGCCACAGCTATGTTTATATGCAGGGGTTTTTTTTGTTGTTGTTTGTTTGTTTGTATGTTTGTTTTAAAGAGAGGCTGTAAGTAGAAACAGAAAAGTCTTGGCTTGAAAAAGGCAATCAGTTTAGTCCATCTATCTAGACCTTTATATTCTTTCTCTATATAAAGCATGGCTGCAGGGGAGTTACTTGAAGAACTGCTAAAATTAGGGAAAAACTGGAAACCACCATCAACAAGGGACTGGTTGAGTAAAATTATGATACTCTCATACAGTGGAATACAGCCAATAACTTATGCAGAAGGATATTTACCGACATGAGAAAATGTTAACAATAAGAGCAGGTTACAGAACAATATGTGTAGCACGTGTACATACTAACAATGTTATGTAGTATAATTATTTTAAAATCATGTGAGTGTGCACATGTATAGAAAAAACATACTGGAAGGAGGTATACCAAAATGTTAATGGGTAGCTCTAGGTAGTGATTATGGGTGATTTTTATTTTCTTCTACTTTTTTCCACTTTATTTTTATTTTTTGCAAGGAGCATACGTTATCCTTATAATCAGAAAAAAAGATTAAAATGTATTTTTTAAAAATTCTAGGGAATTCCTTGGTAGTCCAGTGGTTAGGATTTGGTGCTTCCACTGCAGGGGGCACAAGTTCAATCCCTGGTCAAGGATTTAAGGTCCCACAAGCCACACAGTACAGCCAAAAAAAAAAAAAAAAAAAAAAAAATCTAAAATATTTAAAAGCTCCCAAAAATGTGATTTGAGGGTATTAAGTGATATGAAAAGATACTGAAACTAGTGGGATATTTCGGAAAAATTTTTGGTTTCTTGTTGTTTTGTTTGTTTTCGCTCCAGGGGTATATCTATAAATTTTAGGCCAATGATACCAAGTGTTGTTAACAACACAACCCTCCCTGTTCCACCTTACCTAACTCTATAGCAGTAATTTATACGTAACCCACCCCTCCCCAAAGTTTCATATTTTTAGCAAAGCATCAAGCTTACCGTACGGAAAGCTGCAACCACAAGATTTGAGGGAAACAGGTTTCTGTTGGAAAAGAAAGCATTTTGTCAGTATTCTTAAAATTCAGCATTCAAAGTGTCCACTTTAAGATGCCCATTCCTGACAGCCTGACACACAGGGTTCCCTCTTTCCCCACGTCCAGCATTTACTGCCATCTTCTGCTTGATCCAAGCACCCAACTGTGCTTCGGCTGCGGGGCCCCAATAGATACCTTGAGTGCACTGATCTTTATCCTCATCTCCCTCGTGGTGCCCCTGGATATTGAGGTAAGCTGTGTCCAAGGAAACCGGAATAATTGCATCACTTTCCTTTCCCCTAGAGGCTAAGCCCTAGTGCAGTGGTTTTCAACGGGGAGTGGCACTGCCCACTAGTGAAATCCAAAGGAGTGTTTTGGTGTTGTAATAACTGGGGGGCATTCCTGGAACTGGGGGAGTGTGTTCAGGGGGAAGTGCCAGGGCCCAGCCATTTGTTCTGCTAAATGTCTGAATGTAAAGCTGTCCCATTAATGGTGACTCTAAACTCGGAAGCAAGCACCTAACCATTTTGGTTTAGAGCATTCACGTCCTGACATTATTTTTACTATAAATTACTCTCCTTTAGTATTTTTTCTTTTTTAAAATTTTATAGCATACTTACATTTTTATTTCTATTTTTAAAAATATATAATAGTCCCTTCTACTTATTTCTCCCACTCTCCACCCCCGCCTCTGGCAACCACCAAGCTGGTGGGTTTTTTTATATTACAGTCAAGTCATATTGATGTTTGAAATTATGTGTGTAGGTAAATTCTATTTATGGATTTCATTTCAGGATGAAGGATAGTACAAAATATTTGTTATAAAAGGAGAGCAGTGGAACTGATCCAGTTAAGCTAGATTTTGAAACCAAAATCTATTCATGCACACAGTTTTTATTGAGGGCCTCCTTTGGGTCATATATTGTACAGATGCTGGTCATGATATACAAGAAAATCCCACTGATAATCCGTTTGTTCTACCCACTTCCTATAAGAATAAGTCTAGAAGAGTAAAAGACCATCTTTTACAATTTGTGCCAATCTTATCCACTCATTCTTACTTCTGTGGTTGAGTTGTTCATAGCACTAGAATCTCTAGGCAACTATTTGCATGCATTCGGTTTCAGAGGTAGGCAGGTCTGACTGTAGCCCAGCTTGGCAAGCAGAGTCTAAGAGGCCTCCTGGTAGTCACACCTTTGTGTAATACCCTCCCCTTCAGTGTGTGTGTCATGGGGGTGGGGGATGGGTATGACTTGCTTCTAGCCAACAGAATACACCAAAGGTGATGGGATGTCACTTTTGTGATTTGGTTACATAAACTTGTGGCTTCCATCTTGCTAGAAGACACTCTTTATTGCTTTCTGGGCTTGCATATTTGATGAAACAAGCTGCCATATTGGAAAGACCCATATGACAAGACATGGAGGGTGGCCTCTGGCCAACAGCCAACTAGGAACTGAGGCTCCCAGTCTGAACCTCAAGGAACTGAATTCTGCCAACAACCACGAGTCCTCAGAAGTGACTCCTTCCCCAGTCAAGCCTTCAGATGAGACCCTAGCTGCAGCCAACACTTTGACTGCAGCCTGATAAGAGACTCTGAAGCAGAAGACCCAGCTAAGCCGTGCCAGGATTCCTGATACCACAGATACTATGGGATAATAAATATGTGTGATTTTAAGCTGCTAAATTGGTGGTAATTTGTTATACAACAATAGATAATGAACACACCCACCAAAAGGGTTAATGAGACACAAAAATGACTTCATTAGAACACTCAGGAAGCTTCCATAGACAGCCAGCATCTAGAGACTGCAACTCAGCCTTTCCCATCTTGCTTGTCTATGAAACCTGAATTGCTTTTAACATACTTAGAGAATACCCAAAAGTACACGTCTCTATTTAAACAGACAAAATGTGATCTTCTGTTGAATTAACCATTGCAAAATGGTGATCTGAAGTTTGATTCCTATTACAAGCATATTTACATTAAAAGAAAGGCAGAAACAGACTAGGCATTTGTATTGACTATTCTTTAGTGTGTAGATGAATAGCAACTTACATTTGCCTCTTATTTCCATTACAAAGCACACTTCTCAGTCTTGTAGGAGTACGTTTGGTATCTCATTTCCATTTGCTACACTAGTTAGAAGCAGAAACAGGCCCTGAGCCAAGGTTTCGCCCATTCTGCATCTACCACAGTAGTTCTCAGACTGAGCTGGCCACCTGCTTCTCCCCCTAAGAAGACAGGGAAGTTAAGGAAAGAGCTGGGTTAGAAGCCCTCTGTCTTCTCCATGGGGGACGATTTCCCCTGCAAATACTTCGTATCCTTCAGGAATGAGCTGTTGACCTGCCTGGTGTCTTTAGCATAAGCAATAACCCAATACTGTCTCACCCAGAACGGACCCTAACCCAGAACTTCTAGACCAAACGGCCACCGTTTGGTCAACCTGTTTTCAGACAGTCTACAATATCTAGTCTACAAAATCCAATGGGAACAGAGGGGTATATTCAATACTAGAGTCAAAACAGTGACTCCTGCCAAAAAATCAAGTTCCTAAGATCATGATGTGTTCTGACAGTTTCTTATAAAGTTAAACATACACTTACCATATGAACCAGCAATTCTACTCCTAGACATTTACCCAAGAGAAATGAAAATATATGTCTGCAAAAAGGACCTGTATGAATAACAGCATTATTCATAATAGCTCAAAACTGAATTGTCCATCAACTGATGAGTGGACAAATAACACTATGATAAATCCATACAATGGAATCCTACCTGGCAATAAAAAGGAATCAACCGCTAATATACACAACGTGGATTATCTCAACACCATCGTGCTGAGCAAAAGAAGCCAGACAAAGAAAAGTACATGCTGAGTGATTCCATCACTATGAAACTCTAGAAAAAGCAAAACTAATCCATAGTGATAGAAAGCAAAACTTTCTATCCAAAACCGCCTGAGGCCAGGGATGAAGAGTGGGAATTGCTGAGAAGGGTCATGGGAGACAAAAATGTTCAGTGTCTGGATTGTGGTAGTGATTAAATGGTTTATCTATTTGTCAGAACTCATTGAACTGTACCCCTGAAATGGATGCATCTTTTGTATGTAAATCATATCTCAAAATTGCTTAAAAAGTTAGGACAAAAGATACAGTGCTAACTGCAAAGGAGATCTGACAACCAAAAAAAATACGTACATTCAATGGGATGACTGAACTCTTTTTAGATTACATAACTCAGCTCTCAAATATTGATCCTTTGGAAGGAATCGCCTGCAGGCAGTGAGTTGAACCCACAGAATCATACTCCTTTCCTTCAGTTCCCCTGGTTGCCACAGGCCAGGAGCAGGGGCAGGAACATGCCCCTGCCCCCACCAAGGGGCAAGGATGCGAGGCTGCAGGAGTAAGGCAAAACATTTTTCTCTATTCTTCATGGTTTGTGCCTTTGGTGTTGTATTTAAAAAGTCATTGCCATACCAGAGGTCATTTTATGTTATCTTTCAGGAGTTTTACAGTTTTGTGTGTTACATTTAGATCTTTGATCCACTTTTTTTTCTTTTTTAAGAAGTATTTTTTTTTAATTTATTATTTTTGGCTGCATTGGGTCTTCGTTGCTGCGCGGGGGCTTTCTCTAGTTGCGGCAAGCAGGCTTTCTGAGTTGCGGTGCGCAGGCTTCTCACTGCGGTGGCTTCTCTTGTTGCTGAGCATGGGTTCTAGGCGCGCAGGCTCAGTAGTTGTGGTGCATGGGCTTAGTTGCTCCGTGGCATGTGGGATCTTCCCAGACCAGGGATCGAACCCGTGTCCCCTGCATTGGCAGGCGGATTCTCAACCACTGCGCCCCCAGGGAAGCCCTGATCTGTGATCTATTTTGAGTTAATTTCTGTGAATGGTGCAAGGGCTGTGTCTAGATTCATTTTTTTTTACGTGTGGATGTCCAGCTGTTCCAACACCATTTGTTGAAAAGATTATTCTTGTGCCACTGTATCACCTTTGTTCTTTTGTCAAAGATCAGTTGACCATATTGACGTGGGTCTATTTCTGGGCTCTCTTCTGTTTCGCTGACATATTTGTCTATTCTTTTGACAACACCACACTGTCTTGATTACTGCAGCTTTGTAGCAAGTCTCACAGTCAGGTGTGTCAGTCCTCTGACTTTGTTCTCTCTGCATTCTTCTTATCCCTCTTTCCTTTGACTTTTAAACAAGATGCTGCTGTGAATCAGACTTTTTCTTACTCCTGAGCTCTCCTGTATTCAGGGATGAGCTGCTCGTCATGCAAGCAGTTTTGCTCCTCCAGAGCTCTGTCTCCAGGCACTTTTCCCAGCTCCTCACATTGACAGGGTAACCATCTGGGCTTTCAAAATGAGGGACATTTGAGCTGGAAGGGATCTTGGAAGTGATCAAATTCAACCCCTCATTTAGTGCCCAGAGACATCAATTTGCTATATCTCCCATTCATGTTCCATACAGACCAGCACTCTCCAACAGAACTTTCTATATTTATGCTGTCCAATACAGTAGTTGTGTGGCTTTTGAGCACTTGAGATATGGCTAGTGCTACTGAGGGTCTGAATTTTTTTGCCGGGGGGTGGGCCGTGTTGGGTCTTTGTTGCGGTGCGCAGGCTTCTCATTGCAGTGGCTTCTCTTGTTGTGGAGCACGGGCTCTAGGCGTGTGGGCTTCAGTAGTTGTGGCACACGGGCTCAGCGGTTGTGGCTCTTGGGCTCTAGAGCGCAGGCTCAGTAGTTGTGGCACATGGGCTTCGTTGCTCCGTGGCATGTGGCATTTTCCCAGACCAGGGATCCAACCCATGCCCCCTGCACTGGCAGGCGGATTCTCATCCACTGCACCACCGGGGAAGTCCCTGAATTTTTAATTTTATTTACATTTAAACTAGTTAAATTTAAACAGCCACTTGTGGCTCGTGTCTATCATATTAGATAGTAGAGATCTGGAGTTGTGAGATCCACAGTCTGGAAATCAGAAGGATCAAATAGTTTTCTCA